GTCTCTGTCATCTCAGAAATCATCTACTCAGACCCTGTGTCTTTGTCCCCAACTGACCAGTCCAAATATGTAGCATCTGCGGATTTCAAAGAACCCTCTTCAGACTCTTTTCACTGGGGTTCTGCTAGAACTATGCACTTCTGCTTCTGACCTTTCATCACCTATCCAAATCCTTTTCCTCTTTCTTTCTATCCTTGAATGTTACAATTCTCTTGACGCCCCCACTAGACCATTCTTTGCACTTAGAATTTCAGTTGTATCTTTATCATTTCTGCTGAGCAGTTATATTGTGCCCTTGATTCATATTTTTGTTGCTGTAACAGAATACCCAAGACTGGATAATTGATAAGGAAAAGAAGTTTATTTGGCTCATGATTCTGGAGGTTGAGAAGTCCAAGATCAGGCAGCCCATTTAGTGAGGACTTCAATTCAGCAGGAAGCACAAGGGCTTTCAAAGAGGCCAGATTTGAAAGGCAGCCTCACATTATAACAACCCACTCTCACGTGAGCTTACTCATTCCCTCAAGAACCCGTTCAGTCCCTGGAGAAAGACATTAACAAATCTTAATGACCTAATCACTTCTTAAAGACACCGCCTCTCAAGACTGTTTCATTGGCAATTAAATTTCAGCATGAGTTTTGGCAGGGACAAGCCATAGCAGGCGGCCGGTCATACATTTCATGAAAACCATGGTTTTCAGCTTCTTCCTTACTTGCAGGATTTTGTCCACTTTTCACAGTGATACAACATTTTCCTGTTGGTAGTTTCAGCCATTAGGCAAGGAGTTGTCAGTGATGGTGAGGCAGCCCTGGAAGTTTGCTTCTCAGATGAGTGTAGACAAACTCTTTAAGACAAACTCTGATCCCAGCACTTTGGGAGGCTGAGGTGGGTGGATCACAAGGTCAAGAGATCGAGACCATCCTGGTCAACAAGGTGAAACCCCGTCTCTACTGAAAATACAAAAATTAGCTGGGCATGGTGGCACACGCCTGTAGTGCCAGCTACTCAGGAGGCTGAGGCAGGAGAATTGCTTGAACCCAGGAGGTGGAGGTTGCAGTGAGCTGCGATCGTGCGATTGCACTCCAGCCTCGGTAACGAGCAAAACTCCGTCTCAAAAAAAAAAAGACAAACTCTGATCCCTTCTACTGGACTGGCTCTTCCATTAGCATAATACCAGGTTAGTGTGGGCCTAAGGTCTAAAGATATCTGTCACCTTGCCACTTTTCTCCAGGATGCCCTGTCTTTTTCTGTGACTAGAACTCCCTTACTCTGATTAGCAGAAGCATTCTTTGGATATGGCAAGCCAGGATGATTTTACTCTCAATCTTGTTATACGAGATTTTGTTGTGTGTTTTTTTTTTTTTTTTTGAGACGGACTCTTGCTCTGTCACTCAGGCTGCAGTGCAGTGGTGCGATCTTGGCTCACTGCAACCTCCCCATCCCAGGTTCAGGTAATTCTCATGGGACTACAGGCATGTACCATGCCCAGCTAATTTTTGTATTTTTAGTAGAGATGGGGTTTTGCCATGTTAGCCAGGATGATCTCGATCTCCTGACCTCGTGATCCGCCCACCTCAGCCTCCCAAAGTGCTGGGATTACAGGCATGAGGCACCACGCCCGGCCTCTGTGAGGGTGTTTAACCACACAGGGCTGCCAGGCATGAGCCACCGCGCCCAGCCTCTGTGAGGGTCTTTAACCACACAGGGCTGCCATATGGCATGGGAGAGACAATCGTTGGAAAATGTAGGGGAAGCTGCTCACTTTAAAAAGAAATGTGAGGCTTGTATATATTCGCTTAGCCCACAATTTCCTTTGCAAGCCAGGTGAGATGGCATCTTCCAGAATTTCATCTGAGCTCATTCTTCCCTAACTTCAGTGTTGACTTGAATATTATTTGAAACAGTTGATTCTCTTAAAGGTCATATTGGATATTCGCACCAATGTGACTTCATTCATTAACAAATATTGAGGAAAGCATTTATTATTTTTTGTTTGTTCATTTGTTGAGATAGGTTCTCACTCTATTGCCCAGACTAGAGTGCAGTGGCATGATCAACGCTTACTGCAGCCGGGCTCAAGCAAGTTTTATATATTTATAATGTATATATTTATTTTAAGGGGTTGGGATGGCTCGCAGCAGGTTTTAATCAAAGCCCTGGTTTTCTTAGGCTTGTCTTTGCTCAGTATGCTCCAGAGACCTTTCTTTTCTTTTCCTTTGTTTGAGGCAGAGCCTCACCCTGTCACACAAGCTGGAGTGCAGTGGTGCAGTCTCATCTCACTGCAGCCTCTGCCTCCCAGGTTCAGTCAATCCTCCCACCTCGGCCTCCCGAGTAGCTGGGATTACAGGCACATGCCACCATGCCTGGCTAATTATATTTTCAGTAGAAACAAGGTGTCACCATGTTGGCCAGGCTGGTCTTGAACTCATGGCCTCAAATTTTCCACCCAACCTGGCCCCCCACAGTGCTGGGATTACAAACATGAGCCATTGTGCCTGACCTCTGGAGATGTTTTATTTTATTTTATTTATTTGAGACAGGGTCTTGCTCAATCACCCATGCTAGAATGCAGTAGAATGATCACAACTCACTGCAGCCTCAACCTGCCAGGCCCAAGCGATCCTCCCACCTCAGCCTCTTAAGTAGCTGGGACTGTAGGCGCACACCACCCACACTCAGCTAACTTCTGTATTTTTTTTTAATAGAAACGGGGCTTTTCCATGTTGCCCTGACAGGTCTGGAACTCCTGGACTCAAGTGTTCTGCCCACCTCTGCCTCCCAGAGTGCAGGGATTACAGGCACAAGCCACCGCGTCCAGCTGCTACTGAGATGTTTAAGGGCCTTGCCAGTACAACTGGGTTCCTCAGTTGGGGATACAAATAGGATGACTGAAAAAGTGTTTGCCACTATGGATTAGTGCACATAGCAGTTCTCATGAGTCTCTTTGTCAAAGAATAGTTAAATACTCACCTACAAATAGTTCTCTAATGGCTGACTAAAACTCCAGCTTTCTAGTCTATAAACATAGCCAGTCTTTTTAAGTCTGTATATATTACTGTCATTGGTATCATCTCCAGATGAAACAGAGCAGCCCCGACATGACGGCCCTTACTGTCCACATTGGTTCTAATAAGAAGAAAGAAGCAACATCGTTTTCAGCGGCTCTACAATTTCATATTGTTGTTAATTTCCTGAAAACTTGTTGTTAGATGAAGTGTAATTGCAGATTTCCTTAAGAACCATTGACAGATACTTATCCCAAGTCATAAGCAACTCACACTGGGAAATGTGTGCAAACATTCTGAGTTTTCTTCCAGAAGAATATACTTCAGTGAGACCCTATATTCACCCATTCTTTTCTATAAAAAGACTTACTGAAGCTCAATGTGGAAGTTGGGGGGAATTTCTTTTTTTGCTACTTGATTTTTTTACGGGGATTAATGTTACCAGCCCTTTCATTGTTTTTCAGAGAGTGCAAGAGAGTCTTTAATAAGTATCCTCTCAGAGACCTTACAACTTTCGGCTAGCAGGGCTGCATTTTGAATAGCATACTAGATAGTAAATGATGGTGTATTTAGGTACTGGCATTGTGTGATGGAGAGTGGAGTTTGATGGTTTTTTTCATTGTTAGGTGGTCTATTTAGTGCAGCTGTGTTTATGTTTCCTTCATGGTAACCGCCTGAACATGGTGACAAGTCCCCACAAATGAGAATAGAAATTAAAAAAAAAATTATCTTGCCAGTGGGCTTTAATTTCAGGGGTCGTAGTTATTAAGTAGCAATGGTAAAAATAATCCCCGGCACAGTCATTCAGTACAGTCGGTTTGCTGTGCCAGAAATTTCAACAACCTTGTAAAAAGAGTAATTGAGGCCTGACGTGGTGTCTTACTCCTGTAAGCTGGGAGGCTGAGGCCGGCAGATCACCTGAGGTCAGGAGTTCGAGACCAGCCTGGCCAACGTGGCGAAACCTGTCTCTAGTAAAAATAAAAAAATTAGCTTGGCATCGTGGCACATGCTTGTAATTCCAGCTACTCAGGAGGCTGAGGCAGGAGAATCATTTGAACCCAGGAGGCGGAGGTTGCAGTAAGCCCAGATCGCATCCTGGCACTCCAGCCTGGGTTGACTTGAGCAAGAATCTGTCTTTAAAAAGAATTTTTAAAAGTAATTGCTACTTTAAATGCTGCATTTCACAGTAGAATAAACTTGGAAATGGTAGAATTTCCTTAGAATAGTCACACTGCTTTACCCTTTGTTTTGCCTGATTTACTTAGTTGCTATTAGAAATGGGTGCTTAGATCATAATGTACATCAATCCTGTAGAAAATTAACAGTTCCATATTTTTGCGATCTTTCTCTTTGTAAAATAATAAATGAACATGGGGTCATGACTGCAGCAAAGAGACAGTTGCCTGTGACAGAGAAAATGGACAGAAAAAGCAAATAGCTCCGTGAATTAGTCAGTACTTTCAGAATTGTATGCAAGATATGAAATGCGGAGGTACAGGGTCCTAATGACGGGTTTTCAGAGGCATTTTCTGTAGTGTTACATCCCTCGTAACTCAAATTAATGTTTATTGCTTATTCTTTCATATTGCCAAAATATTTTCATGAATTTGGATTAGAAGCAGCTTGTTCTGGCTTGTTTTGCAACTTTGTTTCAGGAAACAAAGTGATATTTAGAAGATTTTTGTATGTCATCGAAGCTTTAATTATCTTACCTCTGTTGAAGGAGATCAAGTTCTGTTTCAGAGTTATGTAGGAAAATAAGAGTTTATGCCATGCTAATTTTATGTTGCCACATAATTAATGTCTTTCAAAAAATTTGAATCCGTGATTTGAGTGGCGTTCACTGTTAAATAACCAGCGAAGTAGAATGTACTTTAAATTCGAGAAGATGCTACTTGGTCCAGACCTACTAGAGCTGGCCTTCATTTTTATTTTTGGATTCACAGATGTTGACCCTTATCGTTCCTTTTTTTCCCCTCCCCTTCTCTCCGCAGATTGGTGAAAGACAGCAAGTGTTAGTAACAGAAGAATCTTTTGATTCCAAGTTTTATGTTGCACACAATCGATTCTATGAGCAGGTAAGAGGCACTTCAGTATTCTTGAGTTTTCTCCAAAATGAGAAAGAGTTCTGAAAGTTTAAGCACAGGGCATTTAAAGGGGAGAGTGTTGAATCTTGTCACAACCAGGCTGTTCTGTAGCCTCATGTCAGCCAGGCTAACATGGGTTTGTCTTTGTGACTTACTCTGCAATACATTCTCTACAAAGGAATACGTGTATTTAGTCGATTTTAGTCCACATTAATGTTTGACAGGACCAGCCTTAGGCTTTTGGGCGCTTGGAACCAGGCAATTAACACTGCCAGAATTCCCACACCCTGGCAAAGCAGGGGGGAAAGTCCTGCTCAGACGACAGGAAGGATGTCTGCATGGGCGACAGCAGCATGAAAGGGCAGGGATTTCCTCTCGCCGGCCCATCACCCATACGGTTTTTTTAGTAGGTTGGTTGGTTGCTTTTCCAGTTTTGTTTAGTTTTAGTATTTTTTTTTTTTAACTTCTACCGTGATAAAAATGCTGGGAGCAGAGTCTTTTCCTTGGACTCAGCTCAAATTATATAAACGACTGTGCGGACTGGAGTGAGGATCCAAGCAGCTTCACTGTGGGAGCTTTGGGGGCCATCCCAAGGCGCACCCCACTTACTAGGCTTCCTTCCCTGCCCATTGAAGCTGGCCTGCCTGTGCCCCCTAAAAGGAGCCTGACTTCCGTTTTGGCCTCGGGGTTTCTTCTCCTCCAGGTGGGAGAGCAATTCAAAAGTGACTGAGGGAAACAGTGCCTCTTTCAGGGGCATGGTCCCTGGCAAGGGCCAAGGTCAAGGAAGAGATGGGATATGCCCTCCTCGCCCATCTCATGAGAGCCTGTTTGGGAGACTCCCATGGGGGTACGGAGATTTTCATCGATTTTTCCGGATTGTATTAAAATTAAATGAAGCTACCTCCTTTTTTGCTTCTTTCTCATCAGATAAGAGGTAAAAATGTTTGCTCTGGGTCCTGGCTGGAATCAGAGCTTGAGAAGACCCTGCAGGGCAATGTGGGCAAGTCGAATGAGGGACGGGCAGAGGAAGCAGGCTGCCTGTGTGAGAAGGCAGGAAAGGAGGAGCTGAAGAGGCCTTCAGCACTGATGTTCCCCAGGGAATCATCTCAGACTGGGCAGTGGGTCCCCAGGAAAAGCTTTTCAAAGCTCAGACTAAACATGCTGTGTTCAGTAGCATGGAGACTCTGGTTGAGGAAGGGCTCCCAGCCCTCTATGTCTGGGCTGCGCCTCTTCCCCATTTCCCATCTCATTAATAGACTCCAGAGGGCCACTTTCCCATTGAAGCCAACCTTCTGCTCAGCCCTGGGGAGGAGCCTGATTGTATTTTGGTTGCCTCTTCTCTCCCCTTTCTTTTGCCATCTGGGTTTCGCCTCAGCAGGGAACTTTTTTCCCTTCATTTTAAAGGCAGTAGCATGCCTCGTTAGCTGCTTCCTCCAATTTAAAGCAGTCAGGCTTTTCCCAATTATTAAAATGGGAGGAGGGGAAAACACTGAGCCCTTCATTCAGATCAAGGCCGCAGATCAAGGAGGGTTATTTTCCCCCAGAATAGGACCAAGTCTCCCAGGGTTAGTTTGGTCTAGAGATTTTCTTATTTTATAAAAACTGATTTAAAAGGGCTTTTTATATCCCAACACTAAAGCTCTTTTAGTCCGTTTTGCCTGCCATAAGTAATTCACCACCCAGGTGACCTTTTTCTTATACTCTGATGAAGCAGTGAACTCAGTGGTCGTAAAAATCAAACTCAGACCAAGATTCGATTTTGCCTCTCAGAGAGATTGGACGTGGAACTCCTGGCTCTCATCTGACTTTTCTTTCTTGACAACTAAGCATATAAAAGATTTTATAGGAATTATTTTTTTCTAAATAAGATGAGTTCCAGAGGTGAGGATTATATCTAGGTATCCAAGCATTACCGGATTAGAATCGGTCTATTTATTTTGGATTCTGACTTGAAAAGACTGGCAAGTAGCTCCACTGTTGAAATAGAAGTGTGAGGGAGACATCATGTGCACAAGCTACCTGTAGGTACCAAAGGAAGGGAAGCGTTTGCTCGAGGTAAATAAGTGCTTTTATCAGGAATCTCTAGTGGAAAGAGGCAGTCTGACAGTTTGCTGTGAACAAGCCAAAGTACCCTTCAGCCTACTGGTTCTTCATGGAGGTAGAGTCCCAGGACTGACAAACACATGCTTTTTCTAGCAGAGCAAGGGGAATGAGTGGCAGCCATTAGCTACGGGAGTCATTTAGCGCCAAACGGCAGTATTCTGGGTTGTTGGAAGGTTCTTTTAAATATTCCTCCTTCTCCCCCAAAACACAGCACGCAGCACACACACATGCATGAACACAAACACACAGGCCTGTATTCGAAGTATCTTTTCAAGCCATTCCTGTGACAGCTCACTTGGGAAGTATTAAAAGTATAAGGCTTTGTTTCATCAGCATTGTCTCGGTCTTCCTCATTGCATGGAATAGCCAAGAGCAAACTATCAAAGGCCTGTCCAAAAGCGGCTGGCTGATTGCTGGGGATTTCCCAGGCCTGCGTTCCACGTGCCTCCCGACACTAGGTGCATCTTGACTAGAAGAGCACTGTCCAGGGGCCTGGGAGCCCTTCCAGAAGTGCCTTTCCTTCCTGCAGGCTCCCCAGACCCCTCAGCAGGTAGAAGATAGAGCCTGCTTTGGAGGGGATCCCAGAATAGAAAAAATGACAGTGGGGGACAACGGGGAAATCTGGAGAATCAAGTACGCCTTCAGTTCATAGTATGAATAATATATCGATTTGGGCTCATTAATTGTGGCAAATGCACCATACTAATGTAAGATGGTAATAATAAGGAACCTGGGAGCTGGGTATACAAGAGCTCTCCATAGTATCTTTGCTATAATTTTTATAAATCTGAAACTGTTCTAAAGTAAAATGTTTATTTTCAAAAATTAAGCCTCTGAAAAAATGTGTTTAAGGTTTTAGTGCCAAAGAACCCTGCATTCATGGGGAAAATGGTTGAAGTGGACATCTATGAATCAGGCAAACATTTTATGAAAGGGCGACCAGTATCAGATGCCAGAGTGTACACGCCTTCCATCAGCAAACCGCTTGCAAAGGGAGAAGTCTCAGGTTTGACGAAGGTAAGTAAAAGATGCTCTCCTCTCTGCCCTGCTCATAAAACAGCAGCTGTGGAGGCACAGCGATTCCAGACCAGGTTTCTGTCGTCATGTATAGCCCCTTTTTATGTATGCATGAGGCCTTAATCCTTTCTGACAGATTGAAATTGGAATTAGAAAGATGTGTATTTGCTGATGCCGAAAGCTTTGCTTCTCTGGCTGGAAAGGAAATAAGCTGTTTCTGCTTCCAGGTTAGAAGCAGAGGGTGAAAACCATTATTTGCCGGCAAAAATGTTGACACCAAAAGATGCTCGGATACGGTATGTTTCTATGTCAGTAGACGGTAGATCCGGAGTGGAAGGGGATAAGGAAAGGAGTGTTTTCCTGCTTTACAAAGCTGTTTATACTCTAGTAAAAACCTACGGCTGAACGGACACTAAACCGTATCATATATGCAGTTATGGTGCCTTTCAGAAGGGTGTTAGCTGGATATCTGCTTTAGTCATGTGGAGTGAAAATTAAACATGTTATTTTCTTTCTATAAAAAAGTAACCTGACCCCTATTTTATACCTTAGTAAATTTGGCTGTTTGCCAAGCGCGCGCTCACATTTCATTGAGCTACAGTTGTAAAAGCTGATGGAGTGTGAAATGAAAATGTGTATCACATTTCTAAGCATCATTTGGTGTCCTTTCTCCAACACAATTGTTAAGCGCTTTAAAAAAAGCATATAGCAACAATTTAACATACGGGGAAAAAAAATAACTGATATTTATCTGGCCATGTAACTCCAAAATGGTTTTAATCTGTGTATTATTTTCTCCCTCAAAACAAATTGCAAGGACATGTTGGTTAAAATAAAGGGGGTACAGCTTCACTTTGGCAACAGCAACAAAGACGATATTATTGTCTGTATTCTCACTGATTGTGGTACTGGACTCTCGTGTCTGATACGAGTGATACCTCAGATGTGCTTGACAGGTGCCCACGAAGGCTCTGCACGCGTGGCTCATCCACAGTGGAATGCTGTGGAGTAGCGTTTGTCAAAATCCTACCAAATGTACAGCCGGCACAATCAGGAGATAAGTCTAAAACTTGATAAACATAACCACTCATTTTTGCTGTTTATGAAAAGAAATCATACTTTGGAGATAGGATGGGTGGCCAGGAAGAAGCAGTTAATCTGGCATTTAAATGATACTGCTAGAGATTTGGCTTTTTATATGTTAGCCAATACTTTGAAAATTGTTTTAAGAGTTCCGCTTATTTTTTTTAATTTTTTGTTTTTTCCACATAGTATGCTTTACAAGGTTAATTTTAGATTGCCACAGTGAAAAGTGTTTCTCAGTAAGTAGCAGTGGTGGGGAAATTATGATTTCAAAGACTCTGCCTGGGTGAATTCCTTCATGTTTGCCTCTTGGAAAGGGTAGTATTCTACATCACCGTGGATGACACATAAATAAGGAAATGTAGTGCCCCTGTATGTGTTCCTTGACTGTAGAGTTACTGTCTAAAAGGGCAGCCCCATTTAAGTTCTCTGGGCACCCTTTCTCCTCTCCCATCCTTTCTTCTAATCTAGAAAATGGTATCATCGGTTCTACCACCAGCCCAACTCTGAACCAAAATGGCCCAAAAGTCCCACATAAGATGAGGAAGGCAGTTGGTTGCTGGTCCGCCAGATCCTCTAGAAATAGTCTTGTAGTATGAGGCCAGTGGGTTGGAATATTGGTCTGGGTATTTACATTAAGAGAAACAATAAGGCTTTTGTTGGTTTTGGGGTTTTGTTTATTGTTTTTTGAGAGAATGTCTCCTTCTGTCACCCAGCCTAGAGTGCAGTGGTGTGATCATAGTTCATTGCAGCCTCTGCCTCCCGGTCTCAAGTGATCCTCCCACATGAACCTCGTGAGTAGCTGGGACTATAGGCACGCACCACCATCCTGGCTAATTTTTTTTTTTTTTTTTTTTTTTTTTTTTGAGACAGAGTCTCACTCTTTTGCCCAGGCTGGAGTGCAGTGGCGCTCAATCTCCGCTCACCACAGCCTCTACCTCCCGGGTTCATGTCTCAGCCTCCTGAGTGGCTGGAATTATAGGCACAAGCCACCATGCCCAGCTAATTTTTTATTTTTAGTAGAGACAGGGTTTCACCACATTGGCCAGGCTGGTCTCGAACTCCTGACCTCAGGTTATCTGCCCACCTCAGCCTCCCAAAGTGCTGGAATTACAGACATGAGCCACCATACTCAGCCCTAGTTGATATTTTTTTCTTTTTTGTAGAAACAGGGTCTCACTTTGTTGCCCAAGTTCGTCATGAACTCCTGGCCTGAAGCAATACTCCATTTTGGTCTCCCTGGCATCTAAAGCTAAATATACTATGCTTTGGACTTATTTTGTCTCACTTGAACTCTTTTTTTTTTTATTTGAAACAGAGTTTTGCTTGTCACCCAGGCTGGAATGCAGTGGCACTATCTCACTGCAACCCTCACCTCCTGGGTTCAAGCGATTCTCCTGCCTCAGCCTCCCGAGTAGCTGTGGTTACAGGCATGCACCACCACACCTGGCTAATCACTTGATCACTTTTGATGAAACTGATAAGAAGTACAACAGACTAGATGGGTGTTATCAAAATGGTGGGAATGAGTGAAAGTTATGCGTGCGTTTTTAGTGAAAGGGACAGAAGCATAGGAAATGAGGAAAACACAGTTTTTTGTTTTTTGTTTTTTGTTTTTTTTTTTGAGACGGAGTTTCGCTCTTGTTACCCAGGCTGGAGTGCAATGGCGCAATCTCGGCTCACCGCAACCTCCGCCCCCTGGGTTCAGGCAATTCTCCTGCCTCAGCCTCCTGAGTAGCTGGGATTACAGGCACGCGCCACCATGCCCAGCTAATTTTTTGTAATTTTTAGTAGAGACGGGGTTTCATCATGTTGACCAGGATGGTCTCGATCTCTTGACCTCGTGATCCACCCGCCTCGGCCTCCCAAAGTGCTGGGATTACAGGCTTGAGCCACTGCGCCCGGCCCAGAAAACACAGTTTTAAGATGCTAAGAACACTGATATTTTTATCTTGTGCTCACACACAGCCTAATTTTGTGGTAAGCTGCTGATTGTGATGATCTTTTTATTCCATTAAGATTTCTGTGGAAAAATTGCTATGCTGTTCAATTACTCCACCTGAGGAAAACCTGTGGCTAGACAGGACCTAGGGTCTGCTATACCAAATCCATGAACATGTAATAGTTTGAAAAATTATCTGAAAGCCGTCATCCAAGATTGGGATCAAGGATTTTTTTTTAACTCTGTTACGGAAATCTATTTATGAAAATGTTGTGAACATTTTGAAGCATATACAAAAGTAGAGAGAATAATATAATTATCCCACATACTTATTACCCATGAGCAGTCATCCAATCACGGCCACTCTATGTCATCTGTGCTCTTATCTACCCCTCTTCCCTCCACCTTCATTATTTTGAAGAAAATCCCATTTATCACTTTATTTCATCTAGAAATATACTAGTAAGTACCTCTAAAAGATGAAGATACCTTTTACACACATAATCACAATTATTATCAGATTTTAAAATCATTACCTATAATTGTCTTTGACTGACTCTTCCGGGCCTACTGCTATGACCCAAAGTCAACATTTACGGCATGCTTATCATGGGCCAAATACTGTGCTAAATATGTGACATGTGTGCACTCACGTCATCCTTATAACCCTGAGAAGAAGACGCTGTTATTATCCCCATTGCACAGATAAGGAGTCTGAGCATCAATAATTCAATAAATCGCTTATCTGGAGTCACAGACTTTGAATGTAGAAGAGGGAAGCCAGGATTTATATCCCATTCTTACCAATTTTCAAGCCTGTATTTTTGTTTTTGTTTTTTAATTGTGGCAGAAGATACACACCATAAAATTTGCTGTCTTACCCATTGGTAAATGTATAGTTAGTCGTGTTCCGAATGTTAGGTACCTCATGTAAGTGGAATCATTCAGTCACCAGTGTTTGTCTTTTGTGACTTGCTTATTTCACTCGGCATCATGTCCTCAGGGTTCATCCATGTGATAGCACACGTCACAGTTTTCCTCCCTTTGAAGGCTACATACCATTCCACTATATGTGGATGCCACGTTTCATTTATTCTTTTCTCCATTGATGGACCTTTAGGATGCCTCTACCTTTTGGCTGTTAGGAATAATGTTTGCTATGAACATGGGTACACAGCGATCCCTTGAAATCCCTGCTTTCGATTCTTTCGGGTATTTGTCCAGAAATGGGGTTGCTGGATTGTATGGTACCTCTATTTTTAGTTTTCTGAGGGGCTGCCATACTGTTGTTCCTGGCAGCTGTACCATTTTACATTTCCACCCGTAGAGCATACGGGTTCCAGTTTCTCCACATTCGCACCAACATTTCTTTCCTTTTATTTTTTTTCTTTTCTTTTGAGAGTAGCCATCCTAATGGCTGTATTTTGAAGCCCATTTTAATTGCAGGAGTTCTATTTGATAACTTCTAGACACGAGTGTCTTTTTGTGTACCAGAGTAAGTTTACACTGGATATAAAATAAGGAAAAGAAAGAGAGAGGAAAAATGAGAAAATGGACAGTCTTAATTATCTTCTCTGTGGGTTCAGTTAAAAATGACATTAGAGATCTAAGCCTCTCAGGAATGTGAGGGAATGTGAACATTACTGCAGTCTGTTTTAATAAAGCGTAACTAGTCTTACTACTAATGTTCTTTCCTCTTGTCTGGCCCATGTTGTAACAAATCACTTGAATCTTACCATTTCTAAGATCAATTCTTAAGAAGTCAGAACTATTCTTTGCCTGGTAGAAGACAGAAAGGAACATTTCTCTTCTAATTTTAAACTTATGAATAGTTTTATTGCAAAGTTTTTTCTTATTGAATTCATCCTTAGTAGTAAAAATTGCTTTAAAGAAAAGAAGTAGGCCGGGCGCGGTGGCTCAAGCCTGTAATCCCAGCACTTTGGGAGGCTGAGGCGGGTGGATCATGAGGTCAACA